TCTCATGGTACCCACTAATTAAAAACAAAAACATTGAAAACCAATGGAAGGAGAGAGTTCTTAAGTTTTAGTGGTTCTGGGACTCATTTAAAGATATTTGTGAATATTTACATTTCCCAGTTCCATGCCAAAGACGTTCTCAACTCAACAGGCTTAGAGTGGAATGAATTCCATACACAAAACCCAGACAATTCTGTTGCAGATATTTTGCATGCCATGAGAACAATGCTTGTAGGAAGTGTGGCAGAAGGAGTTATTCTCTTCTTATTCAATTAATGTTATTTTTTTTTTTTTACATTAGTATGTGCAAGTACCAAGAGACTCTCCAAAAACTACCACGTGTAATAAAACAAGATTATTGAAATGACTTTTTATTTTAAAATCTATTGTAAATATCAAATAAAAGATCAACATTTAGCCTCTTTTCTTTAAATAAAATGAACATAACTTAGTAGTGAATAATTCAGAAAAAAATGAAACTTGAGCCACAAAACTGAACTGGGTTTGCATTTCAGAACTTCTGACTCAGAATATTGACAAATCAGGACTTGAAAAACTTGGGTTAAATCAGATGGATTCCATGAAAACAACTACATCCTAAATTCTATTGCCTTCCATTAAGCCAAGCCTTCCAGAAGCTACTCTTTTGCATCAGAAAAGAAAGGGAGTCTTTCTCTGAGGAGTAATTCAGAAAACTTGGGAATCTGGTGTACCAGGGAGAGCCAGGAGTGAAGGTAGTTTATGAAACAAAGGGGATTAATTGTAAGTACTTAAGCCACACATAATCTCCTCCACTTGATTACTGGCAGTCTGTCAGTGAAAGAGACAGTGGCCTACAGACAATGACAATTAAGTACCTCATCCCAAAGAAAAATCAAAGTCCAGAAAACCCATTCCTTAAGATCCTGTAAAGTCTTCAAGGAGGCCCATTCCTTAGAAACATATTTGTGTCCACTAGAAATTTCACCCATTTTTGAGTACTTCCCTTTTAATTACTGATGGAGGATTAATTCATATTTAATGAAAGTCGTAAGCTAATATAAAACAATAATGCGTACTGCAAAAGAGGCTTCCAGAAACTATATAAAGCAGAGGTGGCAATGTGCATCTGTAATTCCAGTTCTTGGCTGGGAATCCTTGGAAACTCAAGGGACATCCAGCCAGGAGTTCACAGTGGCAAACAAGAGAATTGTGTCAAACATGGTAGGTGATGAAGACTAACAAAAGAAGTTGTTATTTGAACTCCACATGCATACACACACACACACACACACACACACACACACACACGAGGGAAGATACCTTAAGGGAATGAGTAGAATATAAGTAAAAGAAAAATAAAGAGGAGTCTACTATGGTGGGAGAGATTAAATCTGTTAGGGAGAGAGAAGAATTGGGGGGATCAGATTCAGGTTGGGGGATTAAGCAAACTGAAGCGAGTATGAAAAAGCCATATGGGAACCTACTATTTTTGAACATATATATATATATATATATATATATATATATATATATATATATATATATGAGAGACTGAAGGAAGTCATTCTGCATGGTAGATAATGCTGTCTGTAGAAGCAGTGACCAACTAAATGAAGTTCCCAGGCCCCTGTGAGGATTCTTAAACAGAGGTTTTCAGGGAAGCCTCAGAGCTTCCCTCAGTTCTCTAAATTGTCCTCTAGAAGTAGAGGATAAGACCACATTGCTGAAGATGTCTCACATCTCAAGTATAAGATATAGAGGAAGCAATCTGGAAAAGAAATCTAAATCTTTCTACTGTCTAGCTTTTGAAGTTCCAGAATGCTCAGCAAGTTTTGGAGGACAAAAGGTATCATTGGTCTCATCTAGATATGAATCTATTGTGCTAGCATGTGGGTAAAAATGTGCCCACTTGTGCAAAACTGACATGATTATTACAGGGATAACTAAATTCCCTCCAATTGGACTTGAAGTCCATACCATGGGAAGGAATTCATGCCTGACACTATAAGTATCTATTAACTTGACATCTGATGACCACAGATTTTAAATTCCTTTATCATCCCATGAATATACACATTTAAAAAAATCTTATAATAATGGGCACTATGTGCTCACTAAATCCTTGCCTAAGAATTCTGTAAGTAATAAATTATGGATTCAAATCTATAGGTAATAATTGTGCTATTCCAGATTTTACTGGAGAATATTATTATATTGCCTTAATTTCAAATTTCTTAATTATGTAACTTCATTAAAAATGAATAGATTTTCTGCTGATTTCCCACCCGTTATTAAAACAGACATTCCCCCTTTGCTGAGCTCACAGAGGTCTTTTCTAAGTTAACAGCCTTATTTTACCACCTGACCTCAGTCATTCCTCTGCATCCTATTTTTATTTCTCCTCCTTAGTTCACATTTATGTAATTTATGAGTAGGGCATGACCCTATGATTATCAAAAGCCCTTTCAAAATGAAAATTTTTACTGAAAAATTACAAGCTAGCTTTAGTTTTTCCTTGCAACATGTTCTTATCCCAAGGCCAGCATTTCATTACCCATAGTTCAACATTTCATTACCCATAGTGTTTTTAACCTCACTCTTTAAATTATATTTAGACAAATATATTACAAACATATTAATGAGTAATGTTCTGTCCCACGAGTTTTATGAATTATGAAATTTCTTTAAATTTCACAAACTATAAGAAAAAGAATTGATTTACTTATCATTTACTTTAAATAATTTGCTCAGTGATGACAAAAAATAGAAGTGACAGTTTTATTTACATACAAACTTTCATCTAAGAACATATACCCTGTAAGAATGATTATTAACCCTTTTTATGACCACAGCATAGAATTATAGACCGAACTGAATTCCAGATTTTTCTCTAATCTAACATCTATCTCTAAGTGTATCTACATTTTAATAATCTAAGAGATATATATCCTTCTTTATTTTTCAGAATCTCTGGGAAAGGGATTACAGTAAACATTATTACTTGAATTTTGACTAATATGCCTGCTTTTACTCATAATCCAAACATGCAGGTAAAAGAAGTAAAGTCCCAACTTCCTATATCCTTGGTAGATGTTTGTCCTAGTTGGTGTTACTATTGCTGTGATAATAAACTTCATTACCAAAGCAACTTGGGGGAAGATAGGGAAATAAATTTGGATTACACTTCCACATCACTGTCCATCGCCAAAGGAAGTCAGGAAGTCAGGACAGGAAATCAAACAAGGAGGAAACTGATGCAGAGGCCATGGAGGAGTGCTGCTCATTGGCTATTGACCATGGCTTGATCAACCTGTTTTTTGTTTTGTTTTGTTTTTGTTTTTGTTTTTTTATAGAACCCAAGACTACCACACTCACAATGGTCTAGACCCTCCACCTATCAATGACTAATTAAGAAATTTCCCTACTGGCTTACCAACAGCCAGATCTTTTTCTCAATGGAGGTTCCCTGCTCTCCAATGACTCTAGCTTTTGTCAAGTTGACATAAAACTAGCAGTCTCTTTAGTGTCTGTGGTTACAAAACAACCATAGAAAAATCATTATCATGATAAAAAACTTCCTAATTCCTAGTTGACCACTCATTTATTTTGAGCAACATCCAAATTAAAACAGTTCCATACAAAAAAAATATCTATACCTAAGACAGACACTTTTGTTGAGTTCATAATAAGGTTTTCTACTAATAAGAAAAATAAAAATAATTTCTATTAGATGTATATTTATGAGTCTTTTTTATTTTTGGTTTTTAAAGATAGGGTTTCCTCTGTGTAACAGTCCTGCCTGTCCTGGAACTTGATCTGTAGACCAGACTGGTCTCAAACTCATAGAGATCTGTCTACCTCTGCATCCATAGAGCTAGGATCACAGGTGCGTGCCACCACTGTCTGGCATATTTGCGAGTCTTAACAAGAAACATTCATTGGGACCTTTCTGGATGCCAGGCATCATACTCCATGCATTACATGAGAGTGATTCTTTATAGCAACTCTGTGAAGGGAGCGATACTGTTTTCCCCTTTTGGGTGATGGAACTGAAGCCCAATGAGAGGCAATAATCTGAGGTCTCATAATCAATGGGAATTAAATCCAGAATGCAAACCTAAACATGATGCTGTGTCCCTGTCTCTAATATATTACTGAACTATAGTTACTATTATTACTAATATTATTAAGGTTGATCAAAAATATCTATCTATAAAATATATCTTAAAAAGTCTCATTAGTTCCCTTGATATTGAAGATGATGTGAGGGGCTGAAGAGATGGTTCAGTGCCTAATGGCAAAGAATGCACTGGCAAAGAGCACTGAGTTTGGGCCCCAACTGCTCACAACTGCCTGTGACTCTAGCTCCAAGTAGTTAATACCTCTGGCCTCCATCAGCACCTGCACACACACACACACACACACACACACACACACACACACAGATGCACACACGCACATGCACACACAGCAAAAAAAAACTTCTAAAAGACATGTGTTCACATAACAAGTAACAAGTCCGAACGCCATTGTTTTTAAGTTTCCTTGATTATTACACAATTTCCCAGGTCTATCTAAATTTGTTTCTTAAACTTAATGAAAATATTTTAAACATAATTTCAGTTATTTCAGATTATTTATACTTTCAAGAAATACACAGTACTTTTAGGTTTTATGCTAAATGAAAGGAGACAGTTTGATATTTGAAGCTATGTTAGGCTAGTTTCAATATGAATATCTTAAAGAATATTGAACCAACTAGAAACATCCTTGTAGCATATGTATAACTAATAAATGGCAAACTATTTTGACCAAGTAAATACCATTGTTTGTTTTGGTAAGGTAATTCATATTGTCAATGCTTTGAACACACTTCTAGATAGTTGGATACCGTCAGTTAATATGTAGAGCCATCTTAATATTTCAGTTTAATGTTTGACATGGTGTTATTTAAAATCAATTTGCTTTGAACATCATAAACTTTGAAATTTGATTAATATTTTAATTTTAGAAGTTACCTTCCTCAATGTTTCCTTTCCCACTGTAATCTCATGCCCATCCTGCCCCATGCCATTCTTAAAGACTAGAATTCGTACTGCAGTCTTCTGAGCAAGTGTCTTCATCCTTCTGGAAAGTGGGGACTTGGTTTTCTGTCTGACATCAGTGGGAAGCATCAACCCATGCACTGTCCAAGTCACTTTCTTCGTTAACAGCAGATGGTCTAGAAGACAGTTTGTGTTTGTTTGTTTGTTAATTCAAGTCAGTATTTGGCATTAGAATTTAAAGATGGACACATGCTTCCCTTCTCCCTCTTTCTATGTCAAACACAATGGCCAGTCTCCATTTAGATGCTGGCTTTCTGAAACGCTACCTCCAGCTTCTCCAGCTACCCACTAGCCGTGACATAAGCTATAGCAAGCTGTCTGCTCTGATCGCCTGCATAAATCATCATTTCTGAAGGGAACAGATGTTCAGGCTATGAAAGAGTAATACCACAATTTAGTCCTAATTAAAATTCACCTTAGCATGCCTCTATCCCTGATCACATGCACCTGGCTTCAGGGGTCCACTGAAAGGGTCCAGTGTCCTTTGCTTGACTTGAACTCCTGTGTTCTTTCCTTTGGGGAAACCCATTTCCTCTCTAATACTTTGCCTTTTGCTGTTGCTTTAGAGCAGACGACCTCTAATCAGTGACCTTCCCTGGCACTTCTGTGAGGAGCAGGGAGGCGCTTTCTAAACCACTAAACTGAAAGTGAAGAACAGCTTTTCATTAAGTTTACTTTGACCTAGACATTTTCAAAGACGCATGCAAAGGGGATTTCAGTTTCAAACTCCCACCAACATTAATGGGAATGCAGCTAAATTACTATGTTAGGCTTCAAAATACATGGATGAAAACGGGAAAGTAGCCACATTACACACTAAGCCGCTGTCAGTTTCTCTCTTTTAGAGGTTTCATCTCATAAATACAATAATTTTTACCTAAAATGTTTACCTCACTCATGCATTCAATTTGTTTTAGATCTTATTTTTAAATTACACATTACATAGAAACACATTGATGCCTCCATCTGTTCTTATTTGTACTAATGAGAAAAATAGCTCCATTTATATATACCTAATAATACCTAATTTATTAGGTATCTGTTAGCACTCACCATAAAGGAAATGTGACTCCTTTTACCCAGAAATGGCACTTTTATACCTGTGCATTATGACCATAGCAGCACGACTGATAGCTGAAAGGTGGGAACCAAATGCTTATCAATGGACAAATAGATAAACAACGAACATACATAATGGGATATTATCCAACCATAGAAATGAATGAAATGCTGACATATGCTATAATGAGAATAAACCTCAAAAACATTGCACTAATGAAAGAAGTGACATATGATTCCATTTACATGAAATATTAAAAATTTAGGTAAACCCACAGAAAGAGAATATGCATGGGTAGAGTAACCTGGAGCTGAGAGGAGAGGGGCATGGAGAAACTAAGTGAAGCAGTCTCACCAGAAATGGCTGCATAAATAAAACTTAAACAATTCCAGGAAGTACAGGCAACTACGGAGAATGCTGGGAGAAGGAGAATGAGACTTTCCCAGAGATGATCCCTCTTATTGGTTGTCCAATGCAGTGGTCAGCCTTGAAACTATATATACACTAACCACAAAACAGACTCAGCACACACAGACACATGCATACACATACATATATATACATACATACAAATGTATATAATGATAATAATCAAAGAAAAATGGCTACCAACTGCATAGCCTTCTTCCCTACACTGTGTTTTTCCTCCATTGCACAAGTGCCTCAAGTAGCAAGAAATTCTAATTTAAAATGGCAGATTTCCCTGCCCCTCATCAGCTGAAGCACTCGGGGGACAGTGAGTCCTGCACCTTGCCTGGAACAGTACGGTAGGGCTGACCATGTTGGTAGAGGTATAGAAGGGTGAGCAGGCCCCTGGGGTATGAGTGTGGGAGAGTTTGCCCCCTACTAGTTGTCTGTCATGTGATGCTCCTTTCCCCCCTTGCTCCTTGCTGGCTGCCGCAGATGGGAGAACTGGCCCTAGGTTGTGAGAGTGGGAAAGCTGGTCCTAACCCTCACCAACTGAAGCACTCTGTAGAGCAGCAGGCCCTGTACCTTGCTTAGAGATGGGGAAGGCTGACCCAGCCCCACCTGGTCTGCCGCGTGGTGGTGGTGGCATGGGTCGGAGAGCTTGCCTCAGAGACCTGAAAGTAGGAGAACTGGCCTTGCCCTGTAAAAGAGCTGCATCACTCCGGGGAATGGGCCTTGAACCTCAGGTAGGCAACGCTGTACAGCGTGGATGAGCCTGCTCCAAGGGCATGAGAGCAGAACAGGTCTGGCTTTTTGCTGCCTGCAGCATTAGATGAGCGAGCAGCAGCAGTGCTAGAGAGCTGGTATCTGGATACATTGTAAACAATGTGATCCGTGTGTATTTAACAAAACAAGAACGTGTTCCTTTCTGAGTAGCCAGCATCAGATACAGGGCATGGGATTCTGTAATGCCCAACAAATATTTGTAAAATACTCGGCAACTGTTATATCAGGGCATTCCTACTACCCCAGAAGCTATTGGGTTGATATTAAGCAATATTTTTACTACGTACAGTCCCCAGGTCAGGAGACTCCAAGGAAGGGGAGGGAAAGGGGTGGGCCTGAGAAGGCCCCACAGTCACCTCTCCCGCGTGGGTGCAGACTGGTCTAAAGACTGCAATCTAAGCAATACTTTTACTTGATGGATGTTTTCTTTGTATGTTATATTTCTGGTGACCATTTCATTGCTGTGATTTTCTAATGTATCGTGGGAGGGAATAACTCAGAAAAGCTGAAGCAAAGGTCCCCAGGCTCAGTATACATTGTGCATTAGCTTCAGTTACAAAACAGGGGGCTGAAATAAACTTTAAACATTATTTGGCTTGGGAGCTGCAGAATGGATCCTGTTGTTGAAATGCTGGCCCCATAAGCGTTATGACCTATGTTTGGATTCCCAACACCCACAGAACAATTGTGGAACAGTGTCTCACACTTAAATGCCACTATAGGAGAGACAAAAAACAGGAGGATCCTTGGAGCTTGCTACTATCCAGTGTAGACAACTGGTGAGCTACGAATTCAGTGAGCAATCCTATTTAAAAACAGTGAAGTGAAATAATGATTGAAGAAGGAAGGCATACGATGCTGGCCTATGTCCTCTACGTTATATAATAATTTACCCAAATATTTATTGAATAAGCATATAGTGCCCATCTCCCCTGCAGTCCCTGTTCTGGACACTGTTCTCATAAAACTGCCAACAGTTCTTGGTCTGGAGAGGACCAAGACAGCATGTTGTGCAACAGGTGCTGGGTCAGAAGTATGCAGGGACTGAGGGAACATGGGGTAGAGACACCTCACAGAACGCAGTGGCCAAAAGGCCTTCAAAAGGCCATTCAGGCAGGATTTGAAGGATACATTCAATAGGGAGAAAAATAGAAAAGCAAAACCTAGGAGGGAAGAATAGTGTTGGGGGAAGGCTGAGTCACGTGACATGCTGAGAAGACAGAACAGAGGTGGCCGGAAGTAACTGGGCAGACTCCTCAGGTGAAGCACTGAGAAGTACCACATGGCTCAAAGCAGGTCATTCTAGATTTTTAAGATAACTGTTCAAAAAATTCTTCCATTGCATTACAGAAAATCCAGTTTGCAAAAGGGCACAGCTATTGGGGATAGAGGAGAGAAAGGAAAGTTCTAGAAATCTGTCTTGAAATGGATCTCCTATATGAGAACAGAAAACCTAGGGAACCCTTCTGTTGAGAGAGATGAAGTGATGTGTTCATAGCTCTGAAGACATGAAATGATGGCAATAGTGAAAATATTACATCTACTGTCAAGAAGCAGCAGCCTAGATGGTCTGACTCAGCTTCAGCACCACTGAGGAAGAACATTATATTGGACAGTGGGGAGTGGGCAGTGGGGCACCTAACAAAAACCTGAGGCAACTCTAGGGTGTGTGAGGCAAACGCCAGGCTGAATATTAAAACAAGAAACGTAATTCTAGCCAAATTTACTTCTGAATATGTCTGTTCACTCACTGGCTTCCTCAAACCCCCAAAGTCTCAGCTCCTAGGACCAAGACTCTCTGGTCCCTTTGTAAGAATTAGAATCCCAGGGCTGGAGAGATGGCTCAGTGACTGAAAGTACTTGCTGCTCATCAATAGGACTCATGTTTGGATCTAGCACTTACACTGGGCAACATACAACCACTTGTAACTCCAGCTTCAGGGAATCTGATGGTCTGACATCCAAAGGCACCTGCATATATGTCTCCTCCCCCCACTCTGTCTCTCTGTCTGTCTCTCTCACACACACCACAAAATACAAATAAAAATATGTTTAAAGGAAATAGAACTCCACTATTAATTCCTTCTCTCTTTCCTCTACCATCTACCCCATTTGGAATTAAAAAAGGAGTGAGTCTGTACCCACAGGTCCCTCAGTACTAAGCAGTAGCTGTTCCAAGGGAAACCATCTTTCTGTTTTTTATTTCTAATAATAATTGTAAAGCACTTATACTACTTAAGAATTATGAGGAACATGGCAGTGGTGGCCCGTGCCTTTAATCCCAGCACTTGGGAGGCAGAGGCAATTGTATCTCAGTGAGTTCGGGGCCAGCCTGGTCCTCAGAGCTAGTTCCAGGACCTCTAAGGCTGTTACACTAGAAACCCTCTTGAAACAAACAAATGACAACAAAAGATACTATGAGGAATATAAGATGTGTCACATGAGCCCAGGTGTCCTGAATAGGATCCTTTCACTGTATACAGTCATGCAGGTTGCTCCGAGAAGGTGTTCTACCCTTCTACTGTCCCCCCTCAGTGGCTCACCATGTTTCAGGCACTTGGTCTTTTACACAACCTACACACCCACTGAACAATAAATGCACATCTGTGACATCTGGCCAGGCCCTGTGTCAAAAAATGGCAGTGAACAAGGCAATCATGGTCTCTGCCTTAGGCAAACTTGGTCTGGGTAGAACAGCAAACCTTTCATCAATAGTTACAATTTGATGATTATAAATATGATAAAGGTAAGGGGGATGTTAAGAATGCAATGTGGATTAGATATCATCTCAAGCATGAGCTTCAACAGCTAGAACCTTAGTACTCTCTGCAGCATTGCTTTCTCTTTCCTTTTGTTGA